TTCAAGTTTAGTAATCTTTATGTATCTAGGAATCCTTACATTTCTTCTAAATTTTCCAGTTTATTGGCATACAGTTTTTAGTAGTTATTAATAATGTTTTTAATTTTTTTTTTTTTTTTTTTTTTTTTTTTTTTTTTGCGGTACCAGGGATCGAACTCATGACCTTGCGCTTGCCAGGCAGGCACTTATGCCACTGAACTATATCCTCAACCCCTGTTTTTAATGTTTTTATTTTGGCAATGTCCATTGTAGTTTCACCTTTTTTCATTCTTAATTTCATTGATTTGGGTCTTTCCTCTTTTTTATTTCATTGGCTAAGGATCTATTTATTTTGTTTATTCTTTTGGAGACCCAGATCTTCACTTCATTGATTTTTTTTTTTGTCTCAATTTCATTGATTTCTGCGCTGATCTTTATAATTTCCTTTCTTATACTAGCTTTGGGTTTGGATTATTACCATTTTTCTAGGATCTTGATGTATACCATTAGGTTAGTTTGGGCTCTCTCTGTTTTCCTGATGTGGAGATTCACAACTAAAAACTTCCCTTCAAAGACTGCCTTCCTTGTGTCTCATAAATTCTAGTATGTTGCATTGACATTACCATTTAGTTCTAGAAACACTTACTTCTTCCTTGATTTCTTGTGTAACCCATTGTTTACTTGAGAGTATATCATTTAGTTTCCATACATTTGCACAATTTTTATGTTTTCTTTTGTGTACTTCTTTTCTTGATTTCTAATTTCATTGTGCTATGATCTGATAATACTCATGATATAATTTTAATTCATTTACATTTATTTCATCTTCTTTTATTGGCTAGTATGTGGTCTGTTTTAGAGAAAGCCCCTTGTACTGCTGAAAAGAATGTATATTCTATGTTTGTTGAGCACAACACTATAGATGTCTATTAAGTACATTTTTTCAAAGGTTTTGCTCAATTCTAATATTTTTGTGGAGTTTTTGTCTGGTTAATATGTCTATTTGTGATAGTGCGGTATTGAAGTCCCCCACTATTATTATGTTATGTCCATGTGGTCTTTTATTTCCAGTAGTACTTGTTTTATGAAGTAGGGTGTGCTGGTGTTTGATTCATAAATGTTAATAATTGCTATTTTTTCCTATTAGATTGTTCCTTTAACCAATATGTGGTGACCTTCCTTGCATCTTTTGACCAGGTATGGCTTGAAGTCTATTTTGTCTGAATATTGGATAGCTATATCTGCTATGTTTTGACTCCTGTTGAATGGAGTATTGCTTTCTAGTATTTGATTTTTAGTCTATGAGTTTCTTTTTGGGTTGAATGTGTTTCCTGTATACAGTATATCATTGGATTTTGTTTCTTAATCCATTATGCCAGTTTGTGTCTTTTGACTAGGAAAATTTTGACTAGTCTCATTCTTTGAGTCTATTAACATTGATAATCATTACTGATTATTGACTTATTCATTACGGATAGGTATTGTCATTGCCTTGTTGGCCTATTGCTGATTCCCAGAAGATTTTCTTCTGCTTACAGATCACTGTACCTGGTGTACTCATTCTTTTCAACCTTTTGTCATTCATTTATCTTGTAGAATATTTTTTCACAATTTTTTGGAGTGGTCGAAAATTTCTTTAGGTGACTTTAACATGAAAATATCTTATATCTCCCTCCATTTTTGAAAGACAATTTTGCAGAATGTATCAGTCTGCGTTGGAAATTGTTTTCTTTTATGGCTAGAAACTCTTTACTCCACACTCTCCTAGTTTCTAAGGTTTGTATTGAGAAGTCTGCTGTGATTCTCATGGATTTTCCTTTGTAAGTGATGTGTTGCTATTATTCTGTTTAAAACTCTGTTCTTTTGTTGGCATTTCAGAATTTTGACTGCACACACTGTGTCATGAGAAAGTTCTTTTCTGATCATGGCTACTTGAGGTTTCATATGCTGCACTTATTAAGTCAAATTGTTTCCCCTTGCTTGAAAATTTTTCTTCTTTTATTTCTGTAAACAAATTTTTAATGCTATATGCTGTCTTCTGATTTTTCCCTAATTTCAGTTCATCTTAAATTAGTTTTCTTTGCATTATCTAGGATCTGTTGGATCCATTTTTCATGTTTTCTTGTTTTTAAGGTATCTCTCATTAGTTGGTCATCAGCAACAGCCCTGTCTTCCAGTTCTGACACTCTGTCTTCACATTGGTCATTTCTGCTGCCCATACTTTGGATAAGATTTTTAATATCTCCTGAATTTCTAGAGTCTTTTATGGTCCTTAATCCTTTTCTATACTGGCCATGCATGTTTTACATCACTTTGTTTAGCTTTGCTAGTTTTTATTAATGTCTCCTGTACACTTGCTTACCATTTTTGATCTACATCTTTTTACTTTTGCCTTCTGTGAGCTTAAAAAATACCTTATTGATTTATTTTATTATCTCCCCTGATATCATTTCAAATAATTTGTGCATGTGGCTTTTGGTTCCCCCTTCATTGCCCTATGGATCAGCTTTGGGGGAGTTAGGAGTCTTTGGAGGCATTCTGTTGGCTTGTCTTTTCATGCTTCTACCTGTTTGCTTCTTTGTTTGTTTCTTGTGTTGAGGCTTGTGGGTTGATTGTACTGAAAAGCTTTATTTCTAGTATGGAGACCTCTTTAGTTAATGTCGATATTGGAGTAGTGTCTTCTGGCTGTAGCAGTTATCTTTTACCTCTGTCCCAGGATCCAACTACCTCCATTTACTTAAGTAGGTAGGAGGTTGTAATGTGTCTGGCCCAGTACCCAGTTGTCCAGGAATGGGTCACAGTTATTGTTAATGGCCCCAAAACAATCAAGATATTGGCATTCAGGAAAATCAATTAAGAGCAACAGCTATGTCACCTTGGCTATAGTCATAAAATTAGCATCAATTATAGCATCAAATACAAACTGAATATTGACAATCCTAAAGACCATTAATGTACCACTTTAACTATAAAAAAGATCTACAATTAGAATATGAGCACTAAGACAAACCAAACATTGACCTACTATTAACGTATGCTAAATACATCCTAAATGAAACAACTTTACCTCTACTAACAATAGAACAGTATTTGACAGAATAGCATAAAGTTAACTAGTTATCTAGAGATTTACAAAGCTTAGTAGTTATACTAGTAAACATAGACAGGGTGGGGAACAGGACAATGAAAACAGCAAAATTTGAAAATGAATGGTATATGAGAAGAAGGAAAAAATGAGATAAGAATCCTAATAAGTGGTTAAAGGAAATCAATAATGCTATAACAGTAACAGGAAAGAACAAATAAGAAAACAAAGAAAAAAAATAAAGAGCAAAATACAGAAAATTAAGATAAAAAGTTAGAAAAAGAGAAGGGAAACTAAAAGAGAGCAAGGGGAAAAACCCAAACCTCAAAAAAAAAAAAAAAAAAACTGATGGAATAAAAAAAGATGGAATAAATTTTTAAAAGATTAAGTAAAGAAAAATCCTGTGATTTTGAATGAATTATTTCTTTCCAAGACTGACAGTACTGGGATTCAGCCACACATGATTTCCTCTGCCTCACTTCAGAGCCTATGGGCTTTTGAGGTGTCCTCCCTGTACCAGAGGTTCCTCTGTCCACTCACCATAGATCATGGTTATTGTCTAAGGCAAGACATGTTGGTGGTCCTTTGGTTGGTGGGAAACACAGTCAGCCCTCTGTCTTTCATGGACTTAGGCCATAAAGCAGAGGTTCAAGTGTATTGATGGAATTAATGTTGACAATCACAGGGTTTGCTTGCCCCCTTCTCTTCCAGACATTGCCCCCACCTCTGCTGCCCTGTGCCAATGGGAAACGAAATGTATAGCCAGCCTGAAGTTCATGGATGGTCACGCTTTTGCATAAGAGGGTCACTGCACATCCAGCACAGGACTGCTTACTTGCATCTGGGGGGGTACCACATCCAGTATGGGCCTACTTGCTTGCAACAATGTTCTAACACTATTGGTTTGTCTTAGTGGTGAGGAGACCGCCATCTAGCACCTGACTGCTTGCTTTGGGGGGGCTGCAATATATCTGGCCCAACTTTAATTCTTGTATGCTTGTGAGGATATTGGTTCCAACCTCTGTTTTTCCTTAGCTATAGTGTGGAAGAGCCATGTATGCATGAGATAGCTGCTATAAATTCTGCTGTCTAGTGGCCAGACCCAAATGACCTTCTCCATGCTGTGCTTCACAGGGGAAATATTTGTGCTGCTGCTTGTGGTCCCACCTTCTTGGAAGCATCCTGCAGCTCTTCTCTGTTTAGGAATTGATGCTGCCCTGTGAGTTTGCCAGGCAAGTCAAGTGCAGGCACTATGTCTAGAATTCCATTGATTTCTCCTCTCCTTCTGCATCTTCAACTCCCTGCCCCAAAGAGAGTCTCATTCAAAAATGTAGAAACTTTTTCTTTCTTTGTGTCTCTGGTACAACTTCCTTGTTATGTCTTAACTTTCTCCTTAGTCTAGGAATAGCATTCATGAACAAAACCCAAGAACACTCAATGATTTCTTTTCAATTTGACACATATATCTCAATGAGGATACTGTCATATCCTTGTGTTGTTTGAGTTGGACAAGGAAAGAGAAAAAGAGAGGAGAGAGAGAGAGAGAGAGAGAGAGAGAGAGAGAGAGAGAGAGAGAGAGTATTCTGCCACAGAACAAAGGAGAAAAGTACAAAAGAGAGGAAGGAATTGGTTTTTGAAACTTAAGTATTATTTTCTGACTTGGTTGGTGAAAGCACTAGGTTTTCTAACCATAGGCAAGATATATTGATCTTGCTGTCAAGATGAATGAATCAATATTCATTCATTCATTCATCCATTCATTCAATTTTTGGAGCAGGACAGACACTCTAGAAAAGGAGAGATTATTCTTTCACACACAGAAGGCAGAGACATGTGTTTGCAGTTCTCTTCAGGGTGTTTTTTTACGAAAGTCATTGGGAAGAGGCTGACACAACAATGCCACCAAATTTTAGAGCCACAGAAGGACTAGCAACTTCTAAAGGTTTTCATTGCACAGGTTATAGCCCCGGCAACACTTGAAGCTCACCAGATAGATGCTCCATGGTATGTTTCTTACATTAGCACAGTTCTTTAAGCAGCCCATGAAAGTTAACCAGAGGCTACCATCCCCTATAGAAGAGAGGAGAAACATGTCATCAATCCTCGCCCTGAGACTTCTGCAAATAACTTTCTCTCCAGCCCACACCAGAATCTAAGGATGACCTTGTGGCATTCAGGGGTCTGTTACTCAAATGTGCAGTATTGGAAGATGTTACAAGTTGGAGGCTTCCTCCCAAAAAAAGTAATGATGCAGCAGCAATTCAGAGATTGCCAACACTTGGGGTTCTGATTGAGAATCTTTACAGAAATGCCAAGGGACTGTGCAAAACAGAGGGTGGGAAACTAGACAGATTATGGTGTCCAGTCTACTTATCAAGGAGCATTTAGCTAGTCTCTTGCTAACACTGGCCCCTCTGTCTCCACACTTCAGCACCATCCACATGGAAGTTCAGATAGGTACAAAGACAAAAAATTGCTTCCTTCACTGCAGCAACTAGCTGTTCTCCAGTAGGCACGTGTCAGACCTCTCCTTTCACCTTAGCTAAGTCTCCTCTGTTTTCTCTGGGCTCCTCAGAAAATTCTGGTCTTAGTTACATATCCCACCCCTAGTAACACCTTTATTTTTGCCTTATGATATGTGATATGAATGAGATAAAGATGTCAGTCATGCCAAGCATGAGACTGCATGTGGTAAAGTGATACCCTCCCTTATCACAGTGGCCCGCATATGCTTTCTGCTTCTTCTGCCCCATCTTACTTTTCCCAGCCCACACCTTACTTGTGAAAATCTTCCCAACTGTGCAGGCCTCCTCAGGTGTCGCCATACATCTCCCTCTTCCTCTAGTACACTTTTCTCCAGGGAACTGTAGATGACACATCCTACATTGAACAACTTTCTCACCTTGACCAGAGAAAGGGAAAATAGAAGGGAAAGAAGATAGCATTAACAGGAAGGAACCCATTTCCCCCTTTCAAGTTTGAAGTCTGATTAGATCCCAAAGGCTTTGTCAGAGCCCTGTGCAGCAAGGACATCTGCCTCTATTAACATGGGCTGAGCCAGGGGAGTGACCGGAGTTTATGGTCTCTGGACTTTAGCTTGGGAAATAGAAGTTGAAAAAATGAAAGGAGGAGGGATGTGGAAAAAAAATCACCATCAAGAGTCAAAAGATCAGATTAGGTACTGTTCATACTCACCAGAGTTATCTTCACTAAAAACCATTTCATCATCTGTACTGGAGAGGAGAAAAAATCCACAATTTTGTCTGCGTTTACCCCACGCTGCGGCCTTTGAAATCTCTCTCCTCGGGGCCCATTTTACTCTCCTAACTAGAGCCATGCTACATGCTTTCTATTCCTTCAAAGCTCAGTCTCCCACTGTGGCATCTTGTAACTCCTCTCTTCTTCCAGCTTTCTTCACCTTTCCAGGCTTCTCAGACTGCCCTACTCGTCCCTACAGGGTACAGCACAGACCAGAAGGAAAAGAAAAAACCCAGATGCACATTTGGGTTTCTTAAATTTTTTTTGCCTCATTCCCCTTTTCCCCCCAGTGGACCCTATGTGGTATTCTTACCTCTCTGAGTCTGGAGTCTGACAGTGGGGACAATGAGCTGAAATGCACAAAAGTGCTACACTTTAGATTTAGACGTCCAGGTCTGAAAGGTGAACATTTCACTTCTCTCTATTCATTTGTTCTTGGACTTTATATTTCTTAATGTTCACCTAGTCAGTTGCTGCTACTATTATTTTTTTTCCAGTCCCAAAATCAGCTCCCATGCCAACTTTCACCTGCTGGGAGAGGTTTCCGAGTTTTGAAGCTCAACATGTATTATGGCTTATTTTGGCCCCTAATGCCCTTCCCCCCTTTTTCTCTCCTCCCCCCACCTCTCTCTCATCCATTTCTACTCACCAATGTTAGCTTTTTCTCTGAGAGACCCAGATAATACTGTTGGGGGTAAAAAACAAACAAACAAACAAAGATACACTCTCTAAAGACCTCATTTTCCAAACCCCATCTCACAGTTTTATGAAAATTCTCTCAATTTCTCTGCAGCTCACGTATTTCCTTCTCTAAAGAGCGAGTCATTTGCTTTAGTTACAGTCGCAGAGACCTGGAATATTGTAGGTAGAAGGCCTGGCATAGAGTGACAGCCCATCATACTTGTGCTAGAGGGCCTCTGTCATGGGAACTCTGCCTCATTCCTGCGTGCTGGGTACATGCTACCAACTCTTGACCCTACAGGCTCACCTTTAAAGCAGCAGAACAGGATGAGGGGTCCCAACAGGAGGGACTTGCCCATTTTGGAGGGAGAGAAGACCGGGTTAGGGCAGGAACCTTCAAGAGTACCTATTTATACACCTTCAAGGCTGGGCCTCCTCAGCAATGGTTAGGGGTGGGGACACTGTGGAAGTCCTTGAAAATCATACCCTGCTCTTAGGTAAACCAATGACTGTGTAATCTCTCTTCTTGGCAACTTGGGGAAAGAAAGACTGGCTAGAAAAGTCCTGGGCCTGATTTATTCCATTCCTGCCTCTTCAGACGTTTGATGCCAAGTTTTAAGGTCTTTTCTGCCACACACTGTCAGAGAAGCAAGGATAAATCAGGGCAGGATTCAGAGTGATCTATGTGCAGGTGACAATTAAAGGTGAGAAAATACATAAATGTGAATGATGAGAATGCAGGCAAAAAGAAAACTGGGCACAGAGCTTAAAAATAAATCCTTCTTGGGAATGGAGAAGAGAAGAGTGGAAATATTACACTCAGAGGCCTTGACAGGGAAATTTTATGAGGTTTCCCTCTGCTAATCACCTTGAAAAGGAGCAGGCCCTGAGGTAAGGCTGAAAGGGCAGTTTTCCTCCCTTGATGGTTGAGATCAGGCTTTAGCTAGAAGAAAATTTAAGACTACATCCGGAATGAGAAAAACTTATGCCTCTTACTTGATGTTAGGCCTGATTATTAGGGAGACAACTGGCTGAGTATAAATCTCCCATAGTGGTGAGCTAGCTTGTAGATTTCAAGAAGAACCACATCTAGTGTCTCCTTCTAAATTTTCTTTTAATTTCCTCTAGTCTTTGCTATACCTTCTAGAGCCTGCAGTGAGAGTGCAGCTAAGCTTCTGCTCTCGCTGCAAAGAACTGAAGGGAGAATCTGCAGTTAGAGCAAAACAACTGGGGAGAAACAGGTGCAACAGGGCACAGTGTAGTCTATAGCCAAGTGGGATAGTGCTCTAAGCCAGACGTTGGCTAAATAGTAGAGAACAACAAGAGTAGTGTGTGGAAGTGTGTCCATGACACTTTGGAGGTTATTATCACATGCCAGTGGAGCAAGCTATCATTTCCAGACACAATATGAAGAAAGAAAGCTATTCACTAGTTAACTGCTTACCTGAGAACACGTCCTGCCCTGGTTAAGCTTTGAAGTGTCACTATTAAATATTCATACAGGACATACACCTATGCACACACATGCACATACACACGTGTGTGCACACACATACAACAGCACTGATTTTCACACTGTATGTATTCATCAGCAGGCCTCTCCCTTTCCTTTCTCTCCCTACCCTGAAATTTGGCATCTTCTCTAGCATCTTCTCATTCCTTTCTCCTCTTTTCCTCTTTTCTCTCCTCTCCTCTCAGCAATGCCACTTTTAATTCCTTGCCTACTGGCAACACTCAAGAAAGGAGGGATGGTTCTCTTCCCTGTCCTGTCAAAAATTGTCATGATATTGTCACACCACTTTGCTGACAGTTCAAATGTTCTTCCTCCAGCTTTACTGATCTAGCTGGACTCCTTGCTTATGTTTGAACTGTATTTTACTAACTTGTTTTCTTCTAAAATCTCCCCCAAAGTCTCACCTCATGTCTGAGTAATCTTAATACTTGATTTCTTTACTGGGGCCTGCTCTGTTCCTTTTCTGAATGCTTTTAGTTCTTGGCACTTTCAGGCTTTGATAATCATTTCTGTCATACATTTCACCTTTTTGAATAAAAAGTATTCAGAAACCCATTTTCCCTGTTGTTTTGGACCTTGTTTAATTCTGTAAGGCTCTTCATTCATGATGCCCCCCTCTCCAAAACAGTACAATTTGTCCAAAAGAGTAATCTCTGCATTGTGTTTCAACTCTAAGAGCGATGAGGTAGTTAAACACGATTCCCTGTGTGTAATTAGAAGACATGGGATTGTGGGCTAGGATCTTTCACTTGCATCTACAACATAATTATGTAAGTCAATAAAGAAAGATAATTTTTGGATGGAAATTCACCTTCCAATGAATTATTATTATTTTAAAAGTAGTTCTACTTATCACAGGTAATGTAGCAAGATCCACTAAATTTCATTGGTAATTGAAACACTTTCACATAATGAACTTTTTGAATATGTGGTGAGTGGCAGGATGTAAGGTACGAGATCTCAGTGTAGCTGGCCCCTCATGTGATAAGCAAGATAGACAAGAGGAAAATCACAGATGCTGTCCTAATGGAGCAGCAATTGACCTTCGACTCCTGAGGTTTCTCTGATAACCACGGGCCTTGTACTGATGATCCAGAAGGGAAAGAACAGTTTCTTCTTTACTGGGGTTTGAAGCAATGATCAGATCAGAACAACCTGTCTCTTCTTCCCTCGGACAAGTGAACAGAACAGATAAGACCTAGTGGAAACTAGAGTTCACCCTCCCAGAGGGGATGAAAGACAGAGAAAATATCTACACAATGTATAAAGATCTGAGAAAGGCTGTATGTCACTGGGGGCCCTTTACATGTGGTCCTTTTCTACTTTGAGACTTTCTGTCTCCTAGGATTTTCTGGGAATTTCAGGACTAAGAATTGTTCAATATGTCCACAGTTCCATAGATAGCTCCTTCCAGTTGTGCTGAGAATTGGAGACTTTATCAGAAACATTGAAGCAACTAGGGAGGTCTGTCTGGGAGTCAAGGGTGAAGAGGTAGCCAATGATTTGTCCATTGTTCCCATCCTATCATAAAGATTATATAAAATTTCCTAGGTTTTCAATATGCTGTATCAACAAACTAGCCATAACTTAAGAACTCTTTCAAGTGTGACCTCAGCTAAGGAAAAATTAGAGACCCTCTACTACTGTTCATAGTAAATTCACCAGCATGTGGAGGCCGCAGTGAGAGACCTCTGCAACCTGACAGCACTGCTCAGGTGGCACATAGCTGTCTCTGTTGCCAGGTTTACTACAGACCTTTTAGATTGAAATAATCTCTCTGTTCCCAGAGTTTGTCTGGAGCATATTACCTGAGCAAGGTGGCGCTCATTATTTCATTTGTGTGTGAGTGTGTGGGGGTTATATTGGTGAAATACAATATACCTGTCATAAAAGCCATAAAACATAAATTCATATCTCAAATTATTTTAAATTGTGTAACTGTAAACCAAATCAGAAGACTGTTGACCAGACTACAGAGAATTCACCATAGCAAGTGCTCCTTTCTAACTACATCCTCATTTTCCTCTCCTTACAGGAAGCATTACCCTTTATTTTATGGAATAAAACCATTGATGTATTTTATAGTTTTGCTACACTACATTTTGCTTGTTTTGAATAGTGATATAAACAGACTAATACTATATGCATTTATATGTTATTAATGGCATTGTTTGAATTTTTCCCTTTGCAATATAATGTTTCTTAACAAAAATATTATGGTGAGACATGCAACACATCAGCCCAGATGTTCAAGAAACTCTCCAAATCCTAAGCCCTCTGTTTCCTGAGATTCCCTGCACTGCACAGCTCCTTAGAGCTCCACTCTGAACTCCTATAGCTCCAAACTCCACAGTCCTCCTTATAATCAATCTTCCTGTACACACGGGGGCAAGTCCAGCTGTTATTACTGAATCCAGTGGACATAGCAATGGCATCTTTGGACAAGCAGTGCCTTTGGTACTTCAGAAGTTCATTAAAAAATCATCACCCACAGATAGAAAGAATGGTATTTTTCCCAAGCATCAACTCTACCAAGAAATTAATTAAAATAGAGCCTTAAAAGTGCCAACAAATTTAGGAACATATAGGTCAGTCTTCTCCACAGAGAGAAAAATAAAGGAAAAAAAAGGAAGCCTGTATCTAGAGATGGTACAGTAACTCATACAAAGAGAATGAAACACTTTTTAGGTCTAGTTTCTCTCACTCAGCATAATATTTTCATCCTAAAGAAAGGAAAATACATATTCACACAGAAGCTTGAAAAAGAATTGTCATAGTGGCTTTATTTGTAATAGCCCCAAATTGGAAAGAACACTGACTTTTCTCAAAAGCTGAATGGATAAACTGTTGTACATATATAAAAATAATGCAATATTATCTGCAATAAAAATGAACTCTTGATACATGCAACAGTTGGATGACTTTCAAGAATATTATCATGAATGAAAAAAGTTCAGTCTCATATTATGTACTATGATTCCACTCATGTAATACTCTCAGAATGACAAAATTATCCTGATGCTAAACATAATGTTCAGTAGGCTCTAGAGTGACAAGGAGAATCTAGTGCAAGGGAGAAGCTTGAAGGAGTTTCTTGGTGGTGATGAATAGTTATGTATCCTGCTTTGGAGGACTTTACACAAATGGTGCATATGATGAAATTTCATTGTAATACATACCAAAAGAAAAATAAGCACAGCTCAAAACTGATGAAACTCAACATTCTCAGTTAATGATATTGTGCCAATGTCTATTTCCTGGGTTAGAAAATGTATTATGTTTATTGAGGGTGTATAAAGAAAAGAGAAAGAAAGATGAAAGGAATTAGTGAATTATTCAACCTTGGATAAATCAAATACAAGTTGTAACTACATGGCATGTAACTACTGCTCTGTCTGTTACTATTACCTGGAGAAGCTTGGTAAAATAAACTCAGAAACTATTTTTTGCAACTTGCAACTCTTAAATTATTTCAAAATAAAATTATTTTCTTAATAGCTTGTTTGATTCTTTTCCAGATCTCCAGGTTTGAGGAAAATTAATGAACATATGTGATTGAATTTTTCAGTCAATGGTCATATTATTTTTCTCTATTTTTGGTTCGCTTTGAGCTTTTTGTTATGTAATTTTGTGCTTAGAGACGTTGTGTAACTTGTATTAGATTTATTCCTAGATAGTGGGAGCACTGTTCCAGGAAAAGCCCAGGAGCCAGTGTGTGGGGTTAGGGGAAGAGAACATCCTCTGCTTGGGGCTGTGGGGTGGTTTGGATGATAAAAGTGCAGCTAGGCAACAGATAAGCGGCAAGAAGCTCAGTCAGGTAAGAAGAGGGAACACAGAGACCTCGGA